AACCCACCTCTGGTTTCCACATCAAGAATAGGGTAATGACCAGAACCCCAGGGACTGTGGTGACAAGGAGCAGCAGCCAGAGCAGCAGCCATTACCTGCAGCTGGAACTTGAGGAGAAATGCTATTTTCCTTCAGAAAAACACTGGGTTGGGACCTGGGCTCAGACAAGGCTGGCAGAGGCAGTGGTGGCATAGCCTCGAGTTCCATACATGTGGGTCTATGATCTAATCAAGATTGCTAATAATGGCCAAGGCCCCAGGGATTGTGGTCATGAGGTGCAGCAGCCACTTCCTACAGCTATGAGCAGAGGAGAAACGCTATTTCTTTTCAAAAACGACTTGGATGGGCACCAGACTCAGACCAAGCTGGCAAGAGTGGTAGCATAGCCTAGAGTCCCATGCACAAGGATCTAATTGAGAGCCACCCTGTCTCAAATGCAGGGCTGCTTTATCAAATGAGCCACCCACTGAAGTCCTCCCGAGATGCCAGTACTAAACAGAAGTGTTGTATTGCTCCAGAAATTAGCCTCTCCAAATTCCAGAACAACTGGAATTATAGATAGCTGGTAGAAATACAAAATGGTACAGGCACTTTAAAAAATACATTGGCAGTTGCTTATAAAGTTAAACATAAACCTATCATACAACAACAATCTCATTCCCAGAAACATATACAAGAAAAATGAAAAATTGTGTTCACATAAAAAACCGGGTATGCCTGTATACCTAATTTATTCACAAAAACGAGAAATCCGAATGTTCTCCAAATGTTGAAAACACAAAACTGTGGCATGTCTATGTATGAAATACTACATGACAATAAAAAGGAACAAACTATCGGTAGAATCTTCAATTCTGATGGATCTCAAGTGCCTTACGCTATGTTAAAGGAGCTAGAATGAAAAAGCTACACAGTACATGATATGTATAAGCACAGCTGCCAGGGATTCATGATCAGGGGAAGTTCTGACTAATAAGTGCAGCACAAAGGAGGTTTTTGAAAGGAAGAGAAGTACTGCTCTATACTTTGTGTGACTGATTATAAAATTTAATGCACTTGTCAACTTTTATAACTATACACTCCAAAAGTCAATTACTATTTTTAAGTTTTCAAAATAAAGTTTAAAAAATCTTATAAGAAATGAAACACATCCCCAGACACCCTTTTAACTCAGTACTGAAGTCACTCCTGAGGTTCACCCTTCAGCCAAAGATTAGACAGGCCTATAAAACAAAACGAGACTAAATGGGCACACCCGCCCAAGGACAAGGAAAAGATGGCAGGAAGGGACAGGAAAACTGGTAACACGAAACCCAAGGTCAAGAAGGAAGAGTGTTGACACATTGTGGGGTTAGCAACCAATGTCACAAAAACAATATATGTATTGTTTAATGAGAAACTAATTTGCTCTGTAAACACTCATCTAAAATACAATTAAAGAAAAATGTATGAATGTACAAAAGACTGAAAACTAGGAAGAAGAAAAGTGTGAAACCAATAATAAATCCCTGTGAATGTTCTAGGATGCAACATCTCTACAGGCTGGTTTGTATGCTTCCATCTCAGCAGGGGCAGTAGCCCTGGATAAATCTGTAGGCCCAAGAGCCCCTTGCCTTAGCCCCTTCTGAATACAGGAACCCTAGCTGGACTCCCATCTTCTCCAGACCCTGCAGTGGACATGCACACCAAGTGGAGTAGCAGTCATCATTCCACCGTACTGCAGTAACAGCAGCCTCAGCTCCTGGCCTGGGGCACACTCTTAGAATTACAAAACTAGGACTCAGTGAGCACAGGCTCTGGGCCTGTGGGGACAGCTCTACTGCAGCTAGGTCAGGCCGGGCCCATCAGCTTGGACAGGGGCAGATTAACCAGTAAGCAAGGTATGCACGACCTTACAGTAAGGTAAGCAAGAGCTTAATTGTATTTACTTACTAATCTGTAGTGGACAATTTCACATGGATTTCACCACATCTTTGATTCCGACTCACAGTGACTCTATAGGACAGGGTAGAACTGCCCCATAAGGTTTCCCACACTGCACTTTAGGGAAGCAGATCACATCTTTTCTCCCAAGAAGCAGCTGGTGGGTTCAAACTGCCAACCTTTCAGTTAGCACCCGAGTGCTTAATCATTGCACTACCAGGGCTCCTTATGCAAACAATATCTATCAGTTCATTTCCTAGAATTTAAAGGATACTTGGAGTGATATCACCTTATTGTTTTCATCAGAATATAAGAAATGGAAATTATCGCACATAGGAATAAGGCAGTGGCAAGTTCCACATTTGTAACTTTATCTTCCCTGGTACGAATATTCCAGGGGACCAAAAGGGAAATGATGACAATGTGACTGAAGGCCTTCTCACAATTCATACAAAGGGTCTCTCCATTGTATATGGTCTCACAGGCATGCAGAGAGAGGAAGGACACTAAAGGCTTCTCTCATCTTTTATATTCATAGGATCAATCCACAGCGTAATATTTCACATGTGGTCTAATGGAAAAAGACTTGCAGATATTCCCAGGTACCTTACATTTACATGATGTCTCTCAGTGACTTCTCACATGTTCAGTTGGGTTAATTAAGGAGGGCTTTTTCATATGCATGAATTCAAATATCTTTGAAAGTAGGAGGAGAAAAACAAAAACTTTCCCACATTCCTAAAGCTAACGTGATTTCTATGCCATGTATTTTCTTTCAGCTTTGAGAAAAAATAAGGGATGAAAGCTATTCAACATTACTCAGGTGTATATTGTCTCTCTCCAGTATAACTACTCAGATGTGTTCTAAATGATGAGGGACATCTAAAGACTTTCCCACATTCCTTAAATTCATAAGTACTCTGCACTGTTAGTACGTTTACAGACGGAGGAGGACAACTAAAGATTTTTCCACATTTCTTACGTTCATAAAGTTCCTCTTCACTTTTTCTGTTTTCTGAGATAAGAGATATGAGTAAAAGCTTTCCTGCGTTCGTTACATTCATAAGGTCTCTCCCCACTGTGAGATTACTGATGTTCAGTATGGACTGAGGACTGACTACAGGCTTTTCCACATTTCTTACATTTATAAGTCCTCTCTGCACTGTGAGTTCTTGTATGATTAGTGAGGTATGACGAACTAGACTTACAAAAGCCTTATATTCATAAAGCATCTCTACTGTGTGAGTTCTTATATATTTATTGAGGTTAGAAAACTGACTAAATGCTTTCCTACTTCCTTACATTCATAAAGTCACTTTCCACTGTTAAGCTCTTACACGTTTAGTGAGGTTTGCGGACTGACTAAAGGTTTCCACACGTTGCTTAATTTGTAAGGCTTCTCTCCACAGTGCATTCTTATACGTACAGTTAGTGAGAAGGAATAACTAAAGACTTTCCCACTATCATGGATTGAATTGTGTCTCCCAAAAATTATCTGTCAACTTGGCTGGGTCATGATTCCCAGCATTGTATGACTGTATACCGTTTTGTAACCTGATATGATTTCTTTACGTGTTGTAAACTCTTATCACTATGACGTAGTAAGATGAATTAGCGGCAGTTATACTCATGAAGTCTACAAGATTAGTGTCTTAAGCTGATCCCTTTTGAGATATAAAAAAGAAGCGAACACAGACACATGGGAACCTCACAGCACCAAGAGAGCAGTGCCGGCAGCACAGCGCATCCTTTGGACCTGAAGTTCCTGCACAGAGAAGCTGCCAGACCAAGGAAAGACTGATGACATGAACCTTTCTCCAGAGCCAACAGAGAAAGCGTTCCCTTGGAGCTGATGACCTGAATCTGGACTTGTAGCATACTAGACTGTGAGAGAATAAACTTCTCTTTGTTAAAACCATCCACTTGTGGTATTTCTGTTATAGCAGCACCAGATGACTAAGACACCCACATTCTTTATAAGGCTTCTCTCCAGTGTGAATTTTCACACATTTAGTGAGACATGAGAAACTAAAGGCTTTCTCACATTCCTTATATTCACAAGGCTTTTCTCCACTATGAGTTCTTGTATGTGTAGCAAGATGTGAGGAACTAAAGGCTTTCCCACATACTTTACATTCATAAGGCCTCTCTCCACTGTGAACTCTTAAATGGACAGTGAGGTGTCACAACTAATTATATGTTCTCCCACATTCTTTACGTTCATAAAGCCTTTCTCCACTGTGAGTTCTTATATGAGTAGTAAGGGATGAGAAGTGACTGAGAATCTCCCACATTCCTTACATTCATAAAGCTTCTATCATGGATTGAATTATGTCCCCCCCATATAAATGTGTCAACTTGGTTAGGCCATGAATCTTAGTATTGTGTGGTTCTCCTACATTTTGTGATTGTCATTTTACATTAAAGAGAATTAAGATGGGATTGTAACATCCTTACTAAGGTCGTATCCCAGATCCAATGTAAAGGGAGTTTCCCTAGGGTGTGGCCTGCACCATCTTTTGATGAGAAGGTTAACAGAGAGAGAAAGCCTTCTCCCAGGCTGACGCCCTAAATTTGGACTTTTAGCCTACTTTACTGTGAGGAAATAAATTTATCTTTGTTAAAGTCATCCACTTATGTATTTCTGTTATAGCAGCACTAGATGACTAGCAATTTGGTACATTCATAAGGGCCTTCTCCACTGTGAGTTCTTACATGAGTAGTGAGGGATGAGGATTGACTGAGGATCTCCCATGTTCCTTACAGTTATAAAGCTTCTCTCCAGTGTAAACTCTTACAAGGCAAGTGAGGTGTGAGATCTGACTAAACGACTTCGCACATTCTGTACATTCATATGCTTATTTCCACTATAGTTTTTATGGGAAATGAGGGATGAGTGACAAGTATAAGTTTTCCAAAGTTCTTTGCAATCATGCTTATGACCTCTCACGTATCTGAAAGGATGAGAAACTACAGAAACATTTCCCACCTTCATTACATTCATAGAGTTTTTTGCCGGTGAATATTGTCGCATGATTCTTTAGAGGTGAAATACAAACGAAACCTTTCCTACGTACCTTATATTTCCAGGGTTTCTGTCCAGTAAGAGTTCTCATGGAAGTGGTTAGGTGAGAGAGACAACTGCAGGCTCCTCCACATTCCTTACACTGGTAAGTATCGCGGACAGTGTAAAATCTGAAATGATGCTTAAGTGAAGAGTGATCCATGAAGGCTTTTCCACACTCAAGGCATACAGGATTCACTTCAGGAGGAACTCTTTTGTGTTCAGTAAGAATTGAAATCCAGCCGAAGGTTTTTCCACATTGATTACTTTCATTACTTTCACAGAGGTTCTCTACTGCACGCTTTCTGTTAAAAACAGGCAACATACTGTTGGAAATAAATTTGTTACCATCTCACCATTACTAAACACAGTGAACGCATTTTTTGGTGTGAGGTATTTCATATTTCATACGTTAAGTCACCTAGCAAACATGCTTCCATTACTGTGACCGTATTTCTAAAATACTGAGCTTTCTGAAAATTGTGTACAAGTAAAATATATTTCAAATTCTGGTTCACCTTCATAAAAATATTTTGTAGAAACTCTCCGAACACACAATTTTATATATAAATATATCAAAAGGAGCCCTGGTGGCACAGTGGTTAAGTGCTTGGCTGCTAACCAAAAGGTCAGCAGTTCAAACTCACCAGCTGCTCCGCAGGAGAAAGATGTAGCAATCTGCTTCTGTAACAATTACAGCATTGGAAACCCTACGGGGCAGTTCTACTCTGCCCTATAGGGTCATATGAGTCAGAATCAACTTGATGACACACAACAACTATATATATACAGGTTTTCCTTGCTATCCAAAAGGAGAGGAGAGCATTTCTATGAAACCTTTCATAAGCCGAAATGACATAAAGTGAAAAAATAATTACCATTAATTTATATCGGAAAAAAATTTGAGCATTTCTAGACCCAAAAAATAACCTACCAAACCATACCAAATAACACATAAAATCTAAAATAACACTAACATATAATAAAAGCAGACATAATATGATACATAAATTGAGATAAAGCACGGATGCTCACAGACACAGGTTAAAGCTATGATGGCTTGATGCTGAGACGCTAAGCGTAGCTCCCAGGGAAAGAGCTGGGCCAGGACAGACACATCCTTTAACTCCGACACAGGTCCTGAGGGCCACCTTCTTCCCAGGTTATGGCTGCCACACCCCAGGTCACAGTCCTCCCTAGCTCATGTGTCTGAGTGTTCAGCATCTCAGCCTTCCCACAGGGACTGGGAGCACCACCACCACCACAGCTCAGGTATGGCCTGGGCTAGGAGGACAGGGGGTAAGGCAAGAGCACAGGCACCTGGGAAGAAGCCAGGAAGGAAGGGCTGAATCAGCCATTCCCCCCCAACCCTCACTGGTGCTTGGGACTGAGGCCCATGGAGAGAGGCTGGCAGGCAGCAGATGGCACATGCTGGAGGAGGAGGGTGATTAGCCTTGGCTCAGGGTATTCCTGCTACAGGCTCCCTCTCCTGGGCGGGGTGGGGGGCAGACGCTAGCCCCCTGCTTGCCTGCCCATGCCCTCTGGGAGGCTGGAAACTGTGGCTCATGCCCTGACAGGAGCCTGGAAAGAGGGGGCAGGCAAAAGAAGCAAGGTGGAAGTATAAATACACAGACACACACCCTGACACCTTAAGACTCTCTCCTGAAGCATTGCTGTCGCTCATGCGAATAACACTCACCTTACTTTTCTCCCTTGGTGTTTATAGTGATCTTCAACACCATACAATTTGCAGATTTCTCCTAAAATGGAGAACCAAATGTCATTCTTCATAAATTGCACTATTATATGCTCACTAGATAATATTTTGCCATCATTAAGGTTGCAAGAAACTGACCCAATGACACAAGCTGAGGTTCACAGTATGAAACAAGATGAAAGAAAATTAGGAGAAAAAAGACAGCTGTGAGAAATGAAAGATTTTGAGGCATTTGGCTGCATGGCAATGGTCAAAAAGCAATTTACTAGGAAATAGATCCATGAAGATCGAGAGGGACAGTGACATAAATAGGGTGTAAGTAAGAAAACAAAGAAAGACATTGGACACGATGCACATGCAATATAGAAATGCACAATGTGTATGTAAGAGAAAATGGGGAAAGTCTTTCTCCATGAATATAGGTGTGTAAGGATTGATGGAAGTTAGAAAAGTAAGCTCAGGTATCTGGGATATAGAGTCTCCACAACCTAAAATATACTTTTTCTGATTTATTCAAATTTCATTCCCTCCATACTGGGATGGTTCTTCAAAGGATTCTTGCTTTCCTGGTGCTCTCAAACACAGTGGCCCTGGATGAGTCCTATCTCCACTCTACTCAGATCTTCCTCTTGCATCTCTGGGAGAACAAATGTGTGTAGGTGAAATGGTGCTTATGGAGAAAGTCATAACATGAAGGAAAACAGTGAAGAGCAATAAATATCTCCCTGACAATGAGCCAATACTTTAGTCTTCAGAAGCTCTGGAAATGAGATGTGAGTTTATCTGCAGTAAAATAATCATGTTAAATTTGTAATAAACACAAAAAACTCTTTACAAGGTGCAAACCACAAATCTCTCCGCCCCAAAGTGTCCGATGAATTCACTGCTCACACTTACAACACTTAAAGTGCCTCAAGGATTTTAATCATAAGAAAAATAAAAATTCAATTTAATACATAGAACTTTTATGTCCATGGGGAAGCCAGGATATGTACACTCCACAAAGCAAGGAACCATGTCTCTCTTATTTAACAATATATTTCTATTCCTCACCCCAAATACTGGAGCAAGGTTGATGAGTACAATATATTGGTTCACTAAGGGAGTAAACAAATAAAAAACACGTGATGTCATCCTTACCTACTGAGGCCAGGTTTCTGAAGGTTTCCATCATCACATCTCTGTAGAGTTTCCTCTGAGCAAGATCCAGCAAAGCCCATTCTTCCAGGGTAAAGTCCACAGCCACATCCTCAATGACCACTGAGTCCTAAAACACCCCATATACTCTGGTTCAGAAAGGTACCATGTACTCCAATATTTGCAAAAGCACAGGTGATAACCAAATACTTCATGAGACTGATTTTCTGGGTTTGAAGGCTTAGGACTATAGTCTTGTAGGATAACTCGGTTGACTAGCATAATATAGTCTGTAAAGTTTATGTTCTGTCATGGTTTATGGTTTGAATTATGTCCCCCCAAAAATGTGTGTATCAATTTGTCTAGACCATGATTCCTGGTACTGTGTGATTTTCCTGTATGTTGTAAACCTGCCTCTATGATGTTAATGAGAGAGGATAGGTGGCAGTTGTGTTAGTAAGGCAGGACCTGATCTACAAGACTTGATTGTGTCCTGAGGCAATCTCTTGAAATATAAAAGACAAAAGTGAGCAGTGAGACAGGGACCTCATATCATCAAGAAAGCAGTGCCGGGACCAAAGCACGTCCTTTGGACCGGGGTCCCTGCACAGAGAAGCTCCTAGTCTGGGGGAACACAGAAGAGAAGAAGGCCAACAGACAGAAAAGCCTTCCCCTGGAGCTGATGCCCTGAATTTGGACTTGATGCTACTTTGACTGTGAGAAAATAAACTTCTCTTTGTTAAAACCATCCACCTGTGGTATTTGTTATAGTAGCACTAAATGACTAAGACGTGTTCTGTATCCCAGATTGCTAAGTAGTGTCTGGGGTCTTAAAAGCTTATAAGCAGCCATCTAAGATACAGTTATTGGTTTCTACTCATATGGAGCGGAAAAGAAAGAAGGAAAATCAGGACTCAGAGAAGAAACTACAAGACTAACTATCCACAGAAACCATGGCCTCCTAGGTCTAGTGAGATGTTCATTGTTCTGATCGGGGTCACAAGAGATGGCTCCTGAAAGAATGGGAGAAAAATGTGGAACAGAAATCTAATTCTTACAAAATCCTGACTTCTGGACCAGTTAAGACTAGAGGACTCCCCAAGACAACTGCCCTGATGTACTTGTTAAGCCTTGAACTGAAACTATTCCCTAAGGTCACCTTTTAGCTAAGTAAGAGTGGCTCGTAAAATAAAAAATATCACCTGTAAGTACTGCGCTTCTTTAGAAAACCATCAATATGAGACTTAACGGTCAACAGTTACCTCAAGACAAAGATGAGAAGGTAAGGGGGGTGGGAAACGAGATTACTGGAAATGAAAAACCAGAATGAAAACAATGAAAATGTTGACACACTGTGAAGAATATAATCAACCAGTGTCACTGAACTATTTGTGTACAATTTGTTGAATGGAAACCTATTTTGCTGTCAGTTTGTCTTTGCAGTCTAAATTCCTGACAAGTACATTTGTGTTCATGTGCATGCAGTTTTGTTGTTATTCTGGCTGTTATTCTTCAATAACACCATGGATGATCTAAAACCCTGCTAGATACTAGGGAGAGGAGACAAAGGAAACATCCTATTCAATTTACATAACCAGGAGCTACTTCTCCTGGCAAAGCCCTGTGTCTCAGACAAGACTTCTTCCTTTCAGACTCTTAACTGTGGCTACCCTCATTTATTAAAACTGACTTAGGAAATACTGACAAACAGCCTTCTTCATGTATGCAAAGTAGATAAAGCAGTGAATGAAACAAACCTCTGGATGAAAACAGATCATAAATTCTTTGGGTGTGGACACTAAATACACAAAATATAAAGTCAAGTCATAATTTCCATGAAAAATACACCACAGTAAGATGATAAACAGCAAGTGACTTGACTTATTTACCTTTAGTGAGTTAATACAAGGAAAAAACAAAATGATGGTAGTTTGAATCCACCAGCTGCTCCTTGGAAACCCTATGGGGTAGTTCTACTCTGTCCTATAGGATCGCTATGATTTAGAATTGACTTGATGGCAACGGATTTGGTCTAAATACACCAATTAAAAGACAAAAACGATATGGTGTATAAGAAAGCCCCTTCATTAAAATAAAAAAAACTCAAAAAATAGAGTGGCTACATTAATTTCAGAGAAAGCAAATTACGGAAAAATGAAAATGATCAGCGATAAAGCACGCATTACATGATAAAATGGTCAACTCTCCAAAAAGTCGTAACAATCTTTAATTACACGAGACAAACTCTAATAGAATTTCAAGGCAAAATAAACAAACCCACTATTAGAGATGGAGACTTCAACATCCCTCTATCAGTAATTGACAGAGCCAGCAGGCAAAAAAATCATTAAGGATATGGTTGACCTAACACATCAATCCACTGGATCTAATTGACCCTTATAGAGTATGTAATCCAAAATCAGCAGAATACACATCCTTCTGAAGTTCACATGGTACATTCACCAAGACAGACCACATTCTGGGCCATAAAGAACACTTTAACAAATCTAAAGATTAGAAATCACACAAAGTATACACTCAGATTGTAATGAAATTAAACTAGAAATCAATAACTAAAAAATAGCTGGAATGTTACAAAATTACAACACATTTCTAAACAATATTTGGAACAATGAAAAAATCAAGAAAAAAATTAGAAGATATTTCAAAGAAAATGAAACTATCAAAAATTGTGCGATGCAGAGCAAATAGTGCATAGAGGAAAATTCATGGCACCGAATACACCTATTAGAAAAGATCTCATATCAAAACTTAAGCTTCCACCTTAGGAAACTAGAAAAATAAAGGGGAAATTAAATCCAAAGTAAGCAGAAGATAAAAATAACAAAATTAGAGAACGAACCAATTAAAATGAAAATAGGAAATCAACGGAGAAATACAACAAAACACTGATTCTTTCAAAACATCAATAAAATTGACAATTCTAGTCATGCTAAAAAAGAGAGAAGACAAATTACCAATATCAGAAAAAAAAGGAGAAGCATTACAGCACAACCTGTGAAAGCCAGAACATACAGAGGACAGAAACCTGTCAGAGAAGGAAAACTGAAATATCTTCCATTAATAGACAGTGATAGAAAAATGGTAAAGCTGAACTCTGTCAAAGGCAGAAAATTTGTGAGACCCAGAAATACAAAGTAGTCCTGTCGAGTTCCGGCTCTTACAAGTTTCACTGTACTGCTGATTACATAGACACTAAAAGATAATAAAAGACTGTTATGAACAACTCTATGCTCACAAACTTAATAACCTACCTGAGATGGATTAATTTCTTTGAAAACACAATCTACCAAACATACACAAGCAGAAATAGATAAACTGAATGGGCCAATATCTGTTAAATCATTAAGAAAAAAATCACAGAACAGCACTCTGCTCAGATGGGTTCAATGTTGAATTCTAAAACATTAAACATTTAATGAAAAAAGTATGCCAATTCTCTGCTATCTTTCAGAAAATAGAAATAGAGGAAATACTTCCAAACCAATTTTTATGAAGCCAGCATTACTCGAATACCAAAACCAAAGATATTACAAGAAAGAAAAACTACAGACCAATATCTCTCACGAACATGCATGCAAAACTCAACAGATATCAGAAAATCAAATCCAGCAACGTACAAGAATTATACACCATGACCAAATGGGATTTATTCAAGGATTTAAGTCTGATTCGACATTACAAAATCAATTAATGTAATCCATTGCATCAACAGGCTAAACAAAAAAATCATACGAACCTATCAATAGATGCAGAGAAAGCATTCGACAAAATGCAATACCCATTTGTAATAAAAATTCTCAGCAAATTAGGAATGTCCTCAACTTGATAAGAAGCATCTACAAAAAACCTACAGCTAACGTTATTATAAGTGAGAAATCAGATTATTTTTGGCTAATATTAGGAACAGGCAAAGATGTTCCCACTCATCACCCCATTTAACATTGTACTAGAAATACAAGGTAACACATTAAAACAAGAAAAATAAAAGGTATATAGATCGATAAGGGGAAATAAACCTGTTTGCAGATGATATGATTGTCTATGTAAAAAATCTCAAAGAATCAACAAAAACTCCTGAAATTAATAATCCATCAACACTGCAGGACAAAAGATTAATATACATAAAAAGTCAATTGTTTCCCTATAAACCAATAAAAAACAACCGCAATTTAAAATGAAAACCACAATTTTATATCAGCGATAACAAGAATAAATGAAATGCCAGAAATCTAACAAAATAAGTAAAACACCTATAAGAAAAAAATATAAAACATGGTGAAATCAAACATCTAAATAAATGGACAGATATTACACGTTCACGGATAGGAAAACTCAATATTGTTAAGATACTGACTAATCCGGTCAGTTTTGTGGATATCAACAAACTTTTTAAAATATTTATACAACAGCAAAGCCTCAGAATAGCCAACACAATATTGAAGGAGAACAAAGTGGGAGGACTGACACTATACCACTTCAAGATTAAAGCTACAATAATTAAGAAAAAGTGGTGGCAAAAGTATAGACAAGAGATGGGGTCATGGCGGAGTAGTCACTTCCTGTGGTCCCTCTTACAACACAGATCCCAAAAAACAAATGAATCTATTAAATATGACCATCTAGGAGCCCTAAACATCAAAGAAAAATTTGAGGAGTCAGAGCAGCAGGGGGAGGGAGAGAGTTCAGAAGCAGCTAGGATTTGCCAGACCTGACTTGGCCAGCACCATGCTGGCTGGAACATCTGGTGTGCACGGGCTGAGTCAAATAGTAGTGCTCGGGATAAGTTTTTCATGCTGGGAGAAACCAAGCAGCAGAGAGTCTGCTCAAGCCTGCGGAACCAGGTAGAAGCAGCGCTGAATTGATGGAAGTTAAGTACAATTGTCTAACCTACTGTGCAAATAAAGGATACCCTTCCTCCCTCTGGGAAGTACCCATCTCCCATTGACCTGCCCCCTCCTGGCTCTGCTCTGGGTCCTGGTCTGGCATCAGCGATTGCTGTGCCCCCTGCGCTGGAAGTACGACCTGTTGTGCACCCCAAGCCATTCTCCCAGCTTTGGAGAGGGACCGAATTAACAAACAGGAATAATAATCTGCCAGCTCCCCTAA